TTTTTTTTTAGTACATGATCGATTTTTTAAAAAAAATCGTGATTTTTTGAAAAGATGTGAAAATAGTGACCAGGTTTTGATTATCATGAGGTATTAAACTATATTTTTAATTTTTATTGTTAAAGTTTTTGCTGAAAAAATTGCATGTTGATAGAATATTTATGCAAAAAACATACATGTTATTATATTTCTAAATTCTAATGCAAAACTGAATTATATTTCTAATGAGAGAGATGATGATTCCGAGGCCACCCTATCCCAGCCATATTATTCACATATCGAGTCCCAACAACATCAGGGTAGGCATGAGCACGACAGTGTAGGTGAGCATGAAGGATGAACAAGCTTCGGGGATTTTGGATTGAGAACACAACAGAACACTAACACTCAGGGATTTGGATATAGTCAGATGCCTGCTAATATCGATGATTCGTTTTTAGATCGAATCAATGAATTGTCAAACGAATTCAATCAATGGCACCAGCGTGACCAAGAAGAAGAACATCGTCGTCTGTCATTTTGTTTTTAGATCATATGTTATTAATTGTATACTTTATTGTCGTCCATGTATGTTGATATACTTATTCCATGATAATTCTATGTTTATCGTTTTGTGTGAAATAAATTAAATGGTAAATAGTAGTTCATGCAGGGAAAGAACATATCAATATTCCCATATTCATGCAAAGAAATGAAAATTCTTAATGGAGTACCCTCATTTTTTATTGAATTCTTAAAAAACAATATTTATAATGAATTTTAATAATTTTTTCGGATTTTTTTTAAGCTTTAATCTGACCGATTCACCTAATTCCCGATCCAGATCGCCGATTCGCCGATCCAAATCGGTTTTTGAGGTACTCGATCCGGGTCACCGATCCGCTTTTTGAACCATTGGTTCCAAGTATATGTCTTAGAAAACTTTTATAAAAAGGAAAAGTTTATATAAGGATGCAACCTTATAATGTTGAACTACGGATGCACCTCAAAAATCTATCGGAAAATGTAGTTTTAATGTTGAGAAACCCTTTGATTGATCATCTCGACATCGAGATGTATGAACATGAAAAATAAAAAGATTTGAAGTCTAAAAAATAGTGTATTTTACAACATATTATCTACACCATCTATTTTCAAGAATTTCATATGTTTATAGATCTACTTGATTTTAACCATTTTTGAAATTTAAAATTTTATAATAATATATAAAAATAGATTTTGTGATAATCCTAAAAACATTTTACATCAAAATTATATACCATCATAAATTTTGAAAGTTCACCTTACCTCTACAGCTATGGATGCATCCGCATGCCAACTGCACCCTTAAAACAATTGCATCTATGCATTTGCTCTCTTTTTTTCATATAATACATGTGCCAACAACAAAATAAAATATTAAATCGAAAATGGGATCTCACCCATACGTGAAAAATGGAAGTTAATCCTCCTGATCTTTGTTTGGACATTGATCAACATGCATGGTCCTTGACATGGGTCCATGCACATGTTTTTACTTATTTATTGTGACTATTATTTTATTTTATTGGTTATCATTTAATTTAATTTAATATTTTATTAGCTTCAAGCTGAATGATTGGCAGGAACGAGAATTTGACAGAGGAGACCTCAGTGCCAAGCACTTGGATGTCGTCGGCCTGCATGGGGCATTTTAGGTATTTAAGATAGGCATTTTAGAGGGGATCCGGTTTTTATGCGGCCAAGCCCGTATATGTAGAAATGTGAGCTTTTTAAATAAATCTATTTTTGAGATGGATTTTTTAACTTAATTATTGAAGACATGTAATTTCTAAATGGAGATCATAAATATGAAAAAATAAAAAAAATTTGAAAACTAAAAATAATAATTCTAGTAAGAAAACATTTGGACCGTTAGTTTCCATTGTTTTAAAATGGAATGCCTCCTTGCATCTATCGTTAAGATGGATGCTTTACACTTTTTGGACCGCATATGTAGTCATGCGGTCCAGCCCGCAGGAAACAATATTCATTTTAGAGGCACGATCATTTTTGCGATTTCCCTTCACACCAGGGGCATTTTGATTCGCAGAAATGAGGTGGTGACTGAATGGACGATTCATTTTGATCCAAAGTAAGGAAAAGAAATTAAATCCATTAGTTATTAGGATTGGAACAGATTAGCAATCCCACTAAGTGAATAGTTGTCCAGCGTTTTGGTCAGTCTAGTTTAAAACAAAAACGAGATTTAGTAAAAAAAAAAGAGTCAAAACCAGAATTTGATATGTTGTAGGCACTCCTCGACCAAATTTGGCATGTTTGACTAGCTAAACAAAATGGACAAATTTTTTATGACATATTACACATTATTAAACTCTTATTTATTCATTTTTATGTTTTTAAAATTCGATCAAATTAGTTTGATCGGCAATAAGACCGATTTCGATTGGACGAAACCACCTCACCAATTCAATTGCCAGTCTGATCCAGATAACATTGATAAAGCAAGGGACTCAAAAGTTGAACCTACTAATTGTAGACTTAATGGCCCAAGTCGGCTTCATCAAACAGTGACTAAAAAGTAGGAATCGGGCCTTAATTGCTAGGGATCGATTCTGATTTGCCTTATCCAACTCCCCGGTTGGATCGGAATGGCATCAACAAAGAAATTAAAAAGCCACAAACAAGGGAGACTCCGAGCAATTCAAAGGTTCCTCGAACTCGAACCCACCTCCCGATCATGACCCAACTTGGGTGTTTCTGAATCAAATCAGCAATATTCTTTTTGGGTTTGGTTTCTATAAGGTTGCAACCTTAAACAATCCAATTAAGACACACCTCCAAATTTTATCATTACATGTAATTTGGGAGTAAAAATATCTTAAAATCTATTTTTATTTTTAATTATAAAATTTTAAACACAAAAAATAGTTAAAATCAAGTAGATCTATAAACATATGAGAATCTTGAAAATGGACGGTCTAGATAATATATTGCAAGATGCATTATTTTTGGAACTCAAAATCCTTTTTTTTTCCTATACTTATACATCTCGATGTTGAAATGATCAAGTGGAGGGTTTTTCAACAATAAAACAATGTTTTCCGATGGATTCTTGAGGTGCACCCTTAATTCTATATTTTAAAGTTGCAACCTTATGCTTTTTCCATTCTTTTTTCCTTAATTTAAGAAAGTTGGAAATAACCTTACATATTTTTCTTCCGAAGGGAGGATAACAAAGCACCATTTGCTTGTTATTTAATCTCAACTGTGAAAAAATTTTAAGGCCGCCATCACTGAAAATAGCCCTTCAACATGTAAATGTGACCCCATTAATGGTCAATGCAATAGGGACAAAGTTACGGATTTGACGTCTTCTCGTGTTCATTCCATCTTCAACAACTATATTCTCATTTTTTGAATATTTTTTTTAATAGGTTTATCAAAAGAGAAGCTTCCTCCCACGTTTATTTGAAGAAGCTTTCAAGGTTCTAATATTTAATGTTTAACTCTCAAAGGAGAAAAATTCCAAGTCATGAAGCCGTGGTCACATGAACAAAAGACATACCTCACCTCACCTAACAATTGCTAATAATGAGACCAATTCAGTACAAATCCAGTTCACACTAAATTAAAAAAATTCCAATAGCAATACATTCTAAGAAATAAATCAAACACATATGAAACTATCAAATTACTGTAATGGGGTTCGTAAATAAAATAGAAGAAAACACGGTTTGGCCAGGTTGGATAAATGATAGTATAGTTGCCTTGAGAAACAGTAGGTGGGGGCATAACACTATAAAAGGTATAGAGAGAGCACTAAATCACTCAAGAAACACAAACCGAAGAAAGAGAGAGAAGATTAGTGGTACCCTCTTTGAAGCAAAGAGAGTGGTGGTAAAATTGGTGGCGCCACCTTCATGGTGCCCAAAATGGAGAGGCATGTTTGGCCTCAGCTTGCTTTTGCTGCCATTGTATGCTTCGTGGCTACAAATGTAGTGGCTGATAAACCGGAGCCATATTACTATTCTTCTCCACCCCCACCTTATCTCTACAAATCACCACCACCACCATCGCCGTCACCACCTCCCCCTTATGTCTACAAGTCTCCACCACCACCTTCACCCTCTCCACCGCCTCCATATGTCTACAAGTCCCCACCTCCCCTTCTCCATCGCCGCCCCCTCCTTATGTGTACATGTCTCCTCCACCACCTTCACCATCGCCACCACCTCCTTATGTCTATAAGTCTCCTCCACCACCATCACCATCACCACCACCTCCATACATCTACAAGTCTCCGCCACCACCTTCGCCATCTCCACCTCCTCCTTACATCTACTAACGTCTCCTCCACCACCTTCACCATCA